ACCACAGACAAGCTCATTTCTGAGAATCATCAGCCCATTTGGGTGGCACGGTCTCTCGCTCTCTGATGTCTGTAAGCACACGCGAGGGCGCTGTCCTTAGTGCTGAAGTTTTCAGAGCCAGTGCCCCGTGGTTTTATCCCACGTGTATCACTTCACATCTGTGTGGTGCTGGCCACGTTACTTAACCTTGCTGTGCTTCTCTCTCCTCATCGTTAAATGACCGTATAGGGCTAAGAGGATTAACAGAGTCAATCCCTCTAAACCTCTTAGAACAGAGCCTGATCATGATAAGCACATGATGGAGCATGCAATTATCGTTACTGATTCACGATTAGAGGAGGTAAGATTACTGCTAACAAGGGGGCCATTAAATAAGAGTGAGTAAGTGAAGACTTAGCTCATGTCCTCTGAAAGACTGCCAACTCTTGTATAATCTGTCCTTTGTGATGAATATTTTTGTCACTTCGAATGGAAGCTTTTAGAAGGAAGCTTAATTCTTTTCCTGTCCCTGTGCTCAGACATATTTACTGATGCTAACAAATTACTGCCCTATGACATATTTTTTAGAAAATAAATCCCCCCAAATCTCCAGTTCTAGTTGAACAAAGTCCTCATTGTAACCTCCTTTGGGCATATACAGCTCCAGGACTGGAGTTAAGAGAAGTCACCTTCCTTCCCACCAAAGCAGTTCCTCCCCTCCTTTTCCTTCCTTTCTTCCTTCCCTCTGGTCTCAAAAGAGGCACCATCCATCTTCCTTCCAAGTATCTTCCCCCACAACATTGAGTGCCTTGGATCTCATCCCATTTCCTCAGTAGTTAACTCCTTTCTTCAATCTCTCTTCCCCCTCTGAAAAAAGCTCGCATTTCCCTAACACACACACACACACACATGGGTGTGTGTGCGCGTACACAGAGGGTAGTGTCCTACATCTCTATCTGTGTTGAAACTTCTTGCAAGGGTACTTCTTGCCTCTCCCCTCTCCCCTCAATCCCTGGGACATGGTGCTCCATTGCTGCCATTTCCCTGTAACTATGAATTTAAAAGCTGCCAGTCACTCATAAGAGTGATTTCCCTCTTTCCACCCACACAGACCTTTGAGGGAAGCTGAGCCCACTTCCTCCTGGACCTCCTTTCTCTCCCCTTCCATGGCTCTGAGCTCCCCAGGGAACCCCAGTCACCCTGGACTGCGGCTTCTTGGGCTTGGAATCTGCTCTGCCATCCAACTTGGTCACCCCCTCTGTTCCCTACATGTCCCCTGACCTAGATCTGGGTGCTCTTGGGGGACATCTTTGACCTTTTCCTCATTTATCCCTTTGCTTTGTCCACACACGTGGTTGACATGATCACTTCCTCTACAGAGGACACCTCGCTGCCCTCTCCTGTGAGCCCTTTTCTAGCACCTGCTGAGCACCTCCAATGACTACAAGTCCACAGGGCTCAGACCTCACCTGGTGCAAACTGGGTTCTCTCCTCTCTACCTGCTCTTCTCCCAGGTTCCAATACTTGGTCACCAAATGTCTTTTCCCAGTAACGTGGATACCCTCAAAGCCTTGGGGTCATCTCAGACTCTTTGCCCTCTCTGGCCTCTGTATCTGATTCTTATCAAGTCAGCTCTCTCAAACTTCCACCTCACCTTGCCTAGTCCTCCTATACCTCCTAGTCCTCCTAAACCTATCACAATTCAGCCTCTGCTTCAGCTCCTGATCTTTACCTTCTATTTGGAATCTGTGCTGTCTGTCTTTCCCCTCTCCAACCACCATTACTTCCACAGAGCCAAATGCAATCACAGCCCTGCTCTACTTCCCACTAGGTCAGCACTGCTTTCTCCTGTATGGATGGGAAAGTAAGGTCCTACAGTTACTCATGGAGCCAGACTTTACATTTGAGTATGTCTAGCTCCAAGGCACATTTATTATTCTTTGGTTGGCTAGTTGGCTGCATAAAAAGATGGATAAATCAGTGAGTAAATAAATAGATGAAGAAATAACATGGTACAGGTAACAATTAGAATGTCAACTCAAAAGTCCTTGTGTTGGAGCCTTGGTGTACAGCCCACGGCTCTGTTGGAAGGTGGTAGAAGCTTTAAGAGATGGGGTCTACTTGGATAAGGTTAAGTCATTAGGAGCATGCCCTTGGAGGAGACATTGGGATCCCCATTCCATCCTCTTTCTTTGCTTCCTGGCTACCATGAGATGAGCATTCTCCCCTACCATGCCCTCTGCTTCCAGGATGCACTGCACCACCACAAGCCTAAAGTAATGGGGTGAAGTGACCATGGACTAAAACCTTGAGCAAAAATTTTAAGTTCAGATATGTTGTCACAGTGACAGAAAATCAATGCATAATAGTCTGATGATTAAGAATGGTCCTCACTGCCATGTAGGTTGGCATATGTTTAAACAGGTTGGGCTGCCTTGGCATGGTAGGCCAGTGGCTTTTAATCAGAGGAAAGTTTGGGGTCTCCAGGGGATACCTGGTGGTCTGGAGGTGTCTTAGGCTGTCATAACTGGAGAGAAAAGAGTGCTGTTCCTGGCATCTGTGGGTGGAAGTCAGAGGTGCTGCTGAACATCCTACAGTGCACAGCAGAGTCCCACGTAAAGGATGACCTGGTCCAACCTGTCGGTTGTGCTGAGGTTCAGAACCCCTGATTTAGAGGGACCCAGAAGTCCCCCTCAGGAAACAGGCTAGTCCTGGGAGGGAGAGTGGAGGAATCCAGGGAGCCACTTTATATTTGAGAACGTGCGCTTCAAACAGAGGCAAACTAAACCAAAAGCAAATCAAGGAAGTCTGTGCCTTACAGAAAATGAGGGCACAGGCGCTTGTGGGTAAGTGGTTTGTCCAGCCCTCACGAGGAAAGAAAGAAAGCCCAAGAAAAGCAGAATTCTGAGCACAGAGGAGCACAAAGCATTATGAAACAGCCTGAAAACTCCCCAAGAGAAAAATAATCTGAGCACAAACTTCACCTTTGAAAAATACATCCTGCCGGCTACATGGTGCCCTCCTGAACGAGCTCCCAACTTCTGAGGCTCTGTCTTCCCCCTCTGCCCAGCCCTGTCCTCAGCCACCCTCCTGGGGAGGTCCTGCCCCGGCCCTGGGGCGGCTGCTCAGGTGCCCTGTCCCCAGCAGGGCTGGGACAGTCCGTAGCCTGCTGGGGCACTGCTGGAGACCAAGGGCTCATCCGTTAGCACACAGGACTCAGAGTGCACCTCCAGAGAAGGTGTCAGCACACACTCAGACCAGCGCCAAGGGCCAGTGGTCCAGCTCTGGGTCCTTTCCTACAGCAGGCGGTCTGATGCTGCCTGGGACTAAATGCCCACTTTGCTTAAGTGCCCTTTGCAGTTGAGTTGTGAAAAAGGGAAGTAACAGCAGTCTGCAGCAGGAGTGAGCACCACGCTGCCCAGAGCCAGTGGAGCTGAACACCAGCTTGCCGGGTAGCACAGTGGCCTGGCAGGCTGCCGGGCACGCCAGCGTCACAGGAGTGGCAGCTCCGCCTCCTTCAGAGTCACCGGAAGAAGAAGCGGTGAGCTGGGGCAGGGGTCTGGTGGGGGCAGCCTCAGCACAGCAGTGCGGCAATCCCTAAGGGCAGGAAGACCAGAGCGAGGCCCAGGGCAATGGCAGAAAACCTCCCGGAAAGCACAGCTCACCGGAGGCCTGTCCCGGCGATTTTCTGGGGAAACCCAACCCTGGGCCTGCCGTTTCCAGTCCTCTGAACCCAGCCTCCAGTTCTTCCCCCAGTAAGGCTCTCCTCACGTACAGTGAGCTGCGCACAGAGAGCCTCTCTCTGTGATTTAAACCAATCCGTTGCCAGTTATAGCTAGCCATGGCACACAATGTGTTTTCCTGTCATGGCAGGCAGAGAATCATGCGAGTGTGTTCTCAGCTTTGGCAACAGCAAAAATCATCTTGAAGAAGGCATTCTTTCTAGACAAGGAGGATTATTCCCTGTATCTCCTCGCCCCTTCCGCGTCATGAATACAGTCATTTTGACTTTAGCAGACCTCAGTTCAAAAACGGATGAAGCCAAAGCAAAAACGAAAATATACTAACAAAAAAGCCAATAAAGCTGTAATGCTCCAAAATCCATAGTTTCCCTCCAAATGTCACCAAGCAAAGGCACCGAGTCCCTTTTAAGAGCATTTGCAAGCCACACCAGGCCATTCCTAGCTGTTAGATTATTTTGAAATACCCTGAAATCACGGGATGGAATTGCAGGCCCGGCCTAATTCCTCCACTGAAGTTTCACATGAAACCATATTCCTGTGAATCGGAAACTCCTGCCACCATTCGAGATGAACAAAGAAGGCAACCCTGTGGATGAAACATTAATGGCCAATCTGCAGTTGCCCCCAGACCCCCTCGGTTTGTCTCAGGTTCATCAGTGGAGCATTCCTCCCTCTCTCTTTATTCCTTCAATTATTTAGCATCCATCAAGTGCCCATGGTGAGCTGAGCTCCGAGCCACCTCTCACCCCCATCGCATCCCCTCTAACAGCTTCATTCACCTCTCAGCCCTCCAAGCCGCACGGGCAAATTGACTTTTGCCTTCAGAGAGGAAGCTCATTCAGCAGTCACTCTCTGTCGGCATCCTGTGCATTATACTTCCAAGTGCCGAGGACACAAGGCCATGAGCAGGATGTGAAAGAAGCGTGCGGTATCTTCCTGGGCTGTCGCAATACACTGGAGGGAAATGTACCTGAAAATAAGATCCCGCAGTCCCTCAGTCTGTGGGCTCCTCAGACGCACTCAATTTGAACCTAATTAACTGGGGCCCCCTGACTGGCTTTGCCTACATTCTGGCCACTCAGCATCCTGCCCTTGCCTCTGAAAAATGATGACAAATATAAATGACACTGCTGTCAGGGAGAAAGTAGCAGATGCTGGGGAATAGGCAGGAACACAGCGTTTCAGGAGACCAGGAGGGGGAGCAGGCACTGGCAGAGGAGCAGGTCCGACCCTATTGAGGAGGCCGCACTGGAGCTGGCCACGGCACGCTGGACCTACCGAGAACTCTGGAATGCCGATACCACCGCCTCCACCCAGGCTACAACAGCAGCTGCAGCCTCCTGGTGCTTCTTCCACAAGTCCCTGCCCAGAAAAGGGGACATTATTACTCCAGTTTGCAGACGGTGAGAGAGGTGCTGACAAAGTCAAGGGTTATCCCTGAGGTCGCACCATTTGCCCTTGACAGTGGCGAGACTGGAAATGACCATGTTGTTGTAAGGAGATTTAGTGGGTCTGGGTCCAAGGGAGACTGTGAATGCGAGGGTGTAAGGACTGACTTCACCCCAGGTTCCCTGGGTCCAGAGGAGCCTGCTGTCTCTGGGAGCCACTGGCAGGAATTGCTAACTGTAAGGAAGATGGTATTCTCAGCCTATCGAGGGCAGAGGGACCTGGCTCTGCCGACCATGCTGGTCCTGGAACTACTGGTGCTCCTGCTCCCCACTCACGGAGCCCCAGCATTGCTGAAACCACAGCTGCTCTGGGGCAGGGGTGCTGAGGCCTTCTTGGCATGGTCCCTCCTGTGTCCTTTCTCTTTTTTACATTTTGTTAAAGCAACAGCCAAAACACTAAGGGAAAATCAACCAATGCACTGATAAATTCACCACCCTGACAGAGGTGGTGTCACCTGTCTGCATTTCTTTACGGTCCTTCTTCCTAGGAATCCACGTTATCATTCTGCTATGACTGTCAGGTAGGTGTGATTTCGACTATAACCATATTATGAACTAAATATCTCCCCAGGGGCTGCAGTCTTCAAAATGGTCACCATGGTGGTGGCTCTGACCTCTGGCCCTGGAGTCTGCTGCTGCTTGAAATTCCTCCCGAGTCTGCACATGGGAAGTTAGCCCTGAAGGTGCTCATGTACATGGGACCCTAATGAAGGGCTCCAGGGTGTGATCAATCCCAAAGGAGGATTAAAAACTGGTTCTAAAGAGAGAGAAAAAGAGCAGAGTTTCTATTTGTGTGAGAGAGCACAGAGCAGGTGCCACAGAGGTGGGGAGCTGCGGTGCTCCTCGTCTTTCCAAGTCAGCCTCCAGAGGCTGCTGTGCCCAACTGCTGGAATTCACCTCCTTCCTTCCAATTAATGTTCCTAAAATAGTGATCATGATGGTCATAGCAGTCACTGATACCAGCGAACACGTTCATGGCACGTTCCACCTGCCAGGCACAGTTCGAAGACTTCATGTGGATCAGCTAATTTAATTCTTGCAAAATATATCACCACTAATTCCTGTCCTACACATGTGGAGACTGAGGCACAGAGAAACCATGTCGCTCTTCCGGCAGGTAGTGGCCAGGATTTGAACCCAGGGAGCCAGGCTACAGGCCTTGCTCAGAATCGCTGAATAGGAACCCTCAAAACCTTGGTCTCTTACACTGGCCTGGACTGTCCTCTACTTCACCATAGCCAAGTCCTACTGACTTTTCTGCTCCCAGGGCTTCCTCTTCCCCTACAGCTCGCTGCCCCTTTTCCGAACCCTGAAATCAACAGCCTGTGATGCCTCCCTTCGCCCTTGATGGTCACATCTCATGCAGGGAAGGAGAGGAGGACTTTACTCCACACAGCTAAACCTCATTCTTCTGTTCATCAGGGTCTCTGCTCTTGCCTCCCCGCCATCGTACACTTCCCTGCCTTGTCTGGAGCTCTGCCCATACCATATCTCTGACTGAGCCTGAAGTCCTTGAGGAGCAGCACGGGAGGAGGTTCCGCCTGCTTCAGCTTCCTTCTGGGCTCACTGAGTCTTGAAGGGAAGGGAAGTATGTTGGCTGAGCATTTTCTCTTGGGTGCTGCTTGTTACTAACCGTTCCTCTAAACAGAAACCTAACCAACAGTTTTTCTACCTCCCATAGGCTGGTCTGGCTTCATTTATTATTGAACCCACACACATCCTGGGCTAGCATGTAACCACCAGCCACCACTGGGAACAGCTCAGAAGCTGTCTCTACTCTGCCTGAAGCTCTGACAGGGCCTTGAGTAGGGGCAGCAGAGCTGTCAGCTTCCCTCTCAGGCCCACCTAGGGATGTACCCACTTAGGCCCGACCTGAAAGGCACTGAAGCACAACCTGTACTTTCCACCAGATACTGTTCTCATTTGGAAGCATATCTTAACTTCCCCACATGACCTGAAGATTCTCAGAGATGGGTTTAACATTCTGTTTTTCTTTATACCCCACACAGTGCCTTGAAGAAGACCTGCCGCTAGGTAGCTATTCAGACAATGTTTGATGAATGATTTTCCTCAACATGGTCAATATTATAAATCCATGCAGAATTATTTAAAAATGATAATAAACATAATATTGGAGGTACTAGCCAATGTAATAAGTCAAGAAAAAGAACTAAGAAAATACAGAAAACTCTAATGGATTTATAAAAAGCTACTAGAAGTTAGTAAGATTGCAAAATATAAGGTCAATATTCAAAATTCAACTGTAAAATAGCACTAAACAACTGGAAACAATAAAACAGAGATACTCACAATAGCATCAACACATGAAATATGTCAAATATAAATCTTGGAAAATAAATACAATACTTATTTGCTGGAAAGTACAACCACTGATGAAACAAATCAAAGAAGAGATAAACAAATGGTGAGCTATATTAGGGACATGGACTGAAAGTCTCAGTATTATGATGTCAATTCTTCCCAGACATCAGTCTAAGATATATAGATATACAGACTCAACACAATTTCAATAAAAATCCAAGCAGGAATCTTTGTAGAAACCAGTAAAATGATTCTAAAATTTACATGCCAAGGTAAAGGAACTAGAATGCTTGAAACAATTTTGAAAAAGAGCCTAGTCGGAGGGCTTTTACTACCTGATCCAGAGATTTACTATAAAGCAACGGTATCAAGCCAGTGTAGCACTGAAAAAAGAGAGGCACATAGATAAAATAAGTAGAATGGAGGGAATGGGGATTTAGCTCAGTGGTTCTGGCACCTGCTTCGCAGCGCAAGGACCTGAGTTCAATCCCCGGTACCAAAAAAAAAAAAAAAAAAAATGGAAAATCCAGAAACAGATTCACACATATATGGCAATGACAGGTGACACCTGTGAAAAGGCAACTGAATGGAGAAAGAAGGGTTTTTTTCAATGCCATGCTAGAACTGAATATTTATATAGAAAAGCAAACAAGCTACCCCCTAATTATATCTTGTACCTCAGCAAGAATTTTCTTAAACTGGACTCAAGTGAAAAACTTACAACTGAAAATGTCAAGAAGAAAATCTGATCTTGGGTTAGGAAAAGATTTCCCGGATATAAGACTGAACAGTGGACTTCACTGAAGTTGATAAATTCTGCTTGTTGAGAGATGCTGTTTAGATAAAAGACAAGCCACAGACAGGATGAGATATATGCAAGTCATATATCCCAGATGAACTCATATCTAGGGGTATAAAGAACTCAGAATTCAATGAAAAATAAACAAAAAAACTCAATTTAAAAAAAGGACAAAAGGACAGACAACTCACTAAAGATTGCAAAAAAAGAACACAAAGAGATTCTAAACATCATTTAATATTAGTACAATGCAAATTAAAACCACAATAATTTATCACTGTACCTATTATGCTAGGTAAAAATCAATAGGCAAGCAAAGAAACAACAAAAACTCTGACAAAACTAAAGGGTGGCAGCTGAGCAAGGAGACTCTCAAACATTGCTAGGGTAGTGTAAAGTGGTACAGGACCTTTGGGAAAAGTTTGTTTTCTTTAAAAAGTCAAATATACATTTACCCTCTGTCTCCAGCAACCCCACACCCAGACATTTAGTCCATTCTTGAGTATTCATCCAAAGCGCAATGAAAATCTGTCTTCACAAACACCTGCCTGGGAAAGTTTATAGCAGCCTTATTCACATTTGCCCAAAACTTATAACAATCTAACTACCTCCAACTGGGAAATGGATAAAGAAATGGGTTCATTCACACAATGGAAAAAGGAATGAACTACTGAAGACAAAATGACATGGGTGAATCTCTAAAGGCTCATGCTACATGAAAGAAACCAGGCTGAAAAAGGCACATAGCATAGGATTCTGTTTACATGACAGTCTGGTAAGAGCAAAAGTATAGGGTCAGAAAATTGATCAATAGATGTTACAGGCAGAAAGTAGGAGGCAGGGTTGACTATGGGTTAATTTTTTTGAGGAGGGTGGCTGCTTTTTATCATGGCTAGGTGATGTCATTGTGTAGTGATTATGCCACTATGTATGCTTATCCAAACTCAAGGACTTTCTACAAAAGGTTGGTTTTTACTGTACTAAATATACCTTAATTAAAATATGGACAATAATAAAAGAGTTTGAGAAGAATTTAAATTTACTGGAAATCTGAGAAAAAAGAACACTCTATCTTGGGGCACTCTGTCATTTTAGAGTACTATGCTTTCTTCCAGTCACCCCAGTCCTAATTTACAGCTCTCTGTGCAAGTTCCTGGGACCAGTTCCTTCTGTTTTGTCCATTCACACACGGTGAATTTCTCAATGTGATGCTTGTTCTCAAACCATCTTTTCCTCTCCAGCCCCCTAAACTCTGCCCATTCCCTTGAGGCTGACATACAACCTGACTCACCACTCCTACCTCTGAGTCTCCACTGCACCGAGGTTCTGCCTCTCTGAGTACAGGTACTCTGCCCGGGAGCATGCAGAAGCCAACCTCACCTCTCCAGTGTTGATAGGGCAGTGCTGAATGTAGTATAGTGCCAAGCCTTCGAAGCCACAGTACAGAACACCCACTGCTATACTGAAGTGTGGTATGAAGTCTCCCAAAGCCCAAAGGAACTTTGAAAGGGCAGGTCCTGTGGGGAGGGCCTTAGATCACTGGGGCTGCTCTGGGAAGGTAGTGTGATGGCTCTCTGAATCCCTACACGGGCTCACAGGGTTAGTCAGGCATGTGTGGGGGCCCTGAGGGCGTCAGGCTCCTTTCATCTAGGCTGCCCTGAGGAGTACATTGCAGGATGAGCTGTGTTCCCACCAGACACAGTACTGGAGGATTCCCCATCCTCCCTCTCCGTGGCTTGTGCCTTTTTCTCTCTCATGGCTTCTTCTCAGTGACCAGAGAGGCCAGGGATGGC